ACCCAGACCACGACTCTCAGTGAAGATTTCCATGGTGCACCCAGTGGCCCAAACCAGAAATCCAGCTCACCTTGACACTCCGCTGCCCTGCCCCCCAGGAGTGACCCATCACAGGTCCTGCAGTTTCCACCTCCTAATCTCCCTCTGCCAAGAGTTTTCTTAGACAACATCCTCGTAGCTTCTGAACCCAACGCTATCCTTCTCCAATTTTCCCCTCACTGCTGTAAGATCTCTGCCAAGTGCAAACATGAGCATCACCCCTCTGTGTAAGACTCTTCAGTGACTCCCCCTTGCCTTCCAGATAAAGTCCATCTTTCTTAACATGGTTCCAAGGCCTTGCTTGATCCAGCAACTATGCATCCATTACAGGCTGAATTGTGTCCCATAAAATTCATACAGTGAAGCCCCAGCCTCCAGTAATTTAGAACATGACTGTATTTGGAGATAGAGTCTTTAATGAGGTAATTAAGTGAAAATGAGGTCATGTTTGGGGGCCCTTAATTCAATATGCCTGACGTCTTTACACAAAAAGGAGATAAGGACACAGACTTGCACAGAGGGACGCCCGTGTGAAGACAAGGAGGAAAATGGCCATTACCACCCAAGGAGAGAGGCCTCAGGAGAAACCAACCCAGCCAACACCTGGATCTCAAACTTCCTGCCTCCAGAATGATGAGAACATAAATTTCTGTTGTTTTAACCACCCAGTCGGTGGTGCTTTGCTCTGGCAGCCCTAGCAGAGATGCTAGAGAGATACTCCTTCACCTCCCTAAACCACCCAGGTTATGACACTCTAGCTGTGTGCTCAATGCCCTCTCCACTCCAGGCCGGCCCCACTCTCATCTGGGCATCTACGCTGTTCCCACGACTCCTCACCCAGTCAACTCCTTCCTCCACGAAGCCATCCCTGACCTTGATACTTAAGAATCTCCTAAGATACCCCCTTCCTTCCCCTCTCAGATCCCCGTGTTATGACTACCCATTTACTCTGTGTCAACACCAGACTGTGTGCTATGAGGACAGGGACCATGTGTATCTTGCTCACACCTGTGCCTAGAACAGTGTCTGGTGCCTAAAAGGTGCTCAATAAATTCTTTTGGATGACTGGCAATTAATGAAAATAAATCAAATAATTCAAAGTGGATCATATTTACTATCTTTTTAAAAAATGAAGTTCAAAAATATCTTAATAGAGATTCCCAAAATTCCCTTTTGAGGGTTTAAGTTTACAAAGCAAAGCCACTCTCTCATAAATTTGTGTTTCTTTGGCCACTAGAGACTTTGAAATGAGGGGATGTTTATGGGCCCTCAACAGAAGGCAGCTGATTCAAATTTAGTTCAGGCGCCAAGACCACGCTTTAACATGTAACAACACGGTGAGCTGAAGTCACACTCTGGGTCCTTATCTTTGTTTCAGGAAAACTGAGCCCCAGAATTCCTGGCCCTCCCAGAACTCCTTCACTGGGAGTCAGGAAAAGGCCCGACTGCTTCCACAACAGACAGCAAGAAGCCCTGCACCTCTACAGGCAACCCGTGGCACAGGGACACATGTTCATTTCGGTCTGTTTAAAAAAATCGATGCATAATGATTGTGCATATTTATGGGGTACAGTGTGATGTTTTGATACATGTGTGCGTGTGTAATAATCAGCTCAGGGTAAATAGTATACCCATCCCCGCCAGCATCTATCGCTCCTTTGTAGCGAGAACATTCAAAATTCTCACTTCTAACTATTTTGACGTATAAAACACCTTATTGTTGACGTAGTCACCCTACTGTGTGATAGGACACCAGAACATTCAGGTCTTCACCGACACCTGCTCCTGGAAGTGCTGCTCCCATCCCCACCTTATGAGAATGGGCCCAGGCTTCTGGGTACAAACCACCTCCTTTACCCCATCGGCTGAGAGAGCACTGATGCTGTGAGGAGCCGAGAGAAACTTCACTCTCATGTCATTTTGGCTCCAAGCATGCCCCACTGAGGTGTTGGAGCTTTGCCTGCAGTTTACCCCTGAGGAGTGAATCTGGATTCTCTAAATTAAGACCCATTCGTTTATGAGAAAAAGAACCAAATTCTAGCTCCTTTTGGAGTGAGAATGATGGTCCATTCCAAACAAATCCCACCCACCTGACCTCCCAGCCCCTTCCCTGGTTTGTTTCCATCCATGTCACTTTTCCCCATCACCAAACTTAGGTATTTGATTTATGTGCTCGTCGATTGTTCCTCTTCCCCAATGCCCGTCATCACCAGTCCAGCGAGGGGGCTCTATGAGGGTAAGGATTTACTCTGTTCTGTACCCTGCTATTTCTCTGATGCCTAGCACATTCCTTGGTACATAATAGGTTCCCCACGTGTGTCTGTTGAGTTAATGATATGAATAAGTGAATGAATGAATAAATGTACATACTCCCTTCCTTCCTCCAAAAACACATGCAGATGAGTTTCCACTCTCATCACTACCTTGGTGATTCCCCTTCATTCCACGGCAAGGGATCCCCTCTGGGGCGCTTTATACCTTACCTTTCTCCGAACAGGATTTCTGTGTGTGTGCCAACATCAGCATCTGGTCCATCTGTGGATATTGCCTGGGGCCCTAGAAATGTCCCTCTAGGGCCAAGGCAGTTTCTGGCCATAGAATGAAACCAGCCATGACTCCATTGATTCTAAAACCCACATAAATAGAACTACCAGTGGCCTGGGGTCCTTGTCCCCTGCAGGCAGAAGTTCTCAGGTAACAAGATCCTGAGGCCAGGACTTTGGCTATGGTGGTGTTGGGGACACCCGGGGTCCACCAGCAACTGAGGCCTTGGGACAGACTGGAGGAGAGGTGGTGGTCTGGAGATTCTGAGGGTAGCTGGATGTGGGGCAGCAGGGAGGGTCAGGATCTGGCCTCCTGTTTTGGCTCCACCAGCCCTGGTAAACCATTCAGAGCTCCTGAGCCTCACCTATGACCAGCTGCCTTGTGGAGCCATTAGGAGAAACAGGACAGGCTTCGCAAGAGCCCAGCTCTTCATGTGTTCCCCACTCTTTTCCCCAAGAGAGGGAAACAGCACTGCAGTGAGCAGCCCAGGCTGGGACTGAATCCTCCCCCTACCACTTGCTCACCATGTGACCTCCCACAGGTTTCTAAACCAACCTCATGCCTCAATATTGTTTAAGGGTCTGGCACATGGTTAATGAACAGTTATTATGAAATGTAAAAGAATGCAAGAGAGTAATCTGATCCCAAGGTGGGAGTGAGAAGAAGGCTGGGTGTTGTGCAAAGGTAGATTCTTACTGTTGGTGTCTTAGAACTTGAACATTGTCCTGTCCCCACTATTCTTCCCTCTACATTTCCAGGTGGGGAGCATATTGGTGTGCAAACCTCTGGCATGGCTGGGCTGCTGGCCCTGGGATCCCCCCAGAAGCTGCAGGTACTAAAGCCTTTCTCTTAGTTGTGACTGAGTTGAGATCCATATGTGCTCTCTACCCTATGGAAGTGGAGTCAGAGAGATGGCAGTTTAAATGACAGCCCTGCCACTTGTAGGGCTGTGTGACCTTGGCCAAATCGGTTACCCTCTCTGTGCCTCATTTTCCTAATGTGCAAAATGCAAATAATGATAGGTAACACCCACCTCATATGGTGGCACATTACTGGATACATCTACATCCCCAAAGCAAACCCCATGCTCTCCAGTCTCCTTGTCTTTGCATTTGGTGGTTCCTCTAATACTCTCTTCCCTCCTTATCTCTGCCTGCCAGAACCCAGGCTAATCCTCAGAGCCCTGCTCAAATGACCCTGCTTCTGGGAAGTGTTTCCAAGTGTTTCTATCATGTGCGGCCTCCTCTTCCTTCCAGTATCCTGGACATACAACCTTTCTATGGAAGTCACCCTGGCACGGGGTGAATGATACACATACGTTATTGCTAGCCCCCTTCTTGACCATAAGCGTTGGAATCAGATCTGGGTTTGACTCCAGCTTTGCCACTTAATAGCTGTGTGACCTCAGGTTACTCAAGTTCTCTGATCCTGTTTCCCCATCTGTAAAAAAGATGTAACAAAACACCTACCTCATAAGGTTTGTGGCAAAGATTAAGGGAGGTGATGCCTATAAAACCTTCAGCACAATGCTTAGCACATCATATGTGCTCAATAGGAGTTATTATCATTCTAATGATTATTAGCACTAAGTAGGTGTTGAGTCTGAAAGGCTTTCACTTGAAATTCATTCCTTAGGGGCCCCTCCAGTTCAGAGAACTTCTAAAATGCACATCTTGGGGTCAGTGATAGCCCCAGGGAGGGGCAACTAGTGAATTCTCAGTGAAGACTTAGCTGCTCTTTTGACATCAGAACTTTTGGTGCTTAATGGAAGAGCAGAGAAGAGAAGACAAAGAAACAGGAGCCTGAAAGGAGTTCCAAGGAGACCCACATGTTCTGTGTTTAAACCTCAGGACAAACTTTCTATGTCACCATCGATGACTCCGAGATTCAGAAGAATTAAGTGACCTACTCAAGGCCACACAACCAGTGGAGACATACCCAGGTCGCTTTTGCTCTAGGGGTCACGGAGAGAAGAGGTGGTAGGTGGAGGAAGGGGAGAGAATGCTCATCCACCAAGAGGACGTACTCCCATGACACAGCAGGAAAAGCAATCTGTGGAAATGTGTGGTCTTATTTATGGAAAATTAATTCAGCATACAACTTCATCATAATACCATTTCTCGAAACATTAACTCCCATCAATGTTGTAAAAATCTGGGAAGTTACAAAATGTCTTTTTCTAAAACTTCCTGTTATCTATAAACATCCACATTTCAAGCCAACCAAGATTTCCCTCCTCTCCCCTTTGCCCTGTTGGTTTTAAGTCTACAAAGGTCTGGAGTGGCCCCATGTGTTAATGGGGCTTGAGAAAGGTTCTCATCAGCCTGCAAGCCCAGGGGAAAGCAAAGCTCACTTTAACTGCTCTGTAAATTAGAGTCTCCCTTTTTGGTTTAAATCCACGGCCACAGATGTCTTACCTTCACCAGTCCTAGAAACGGTGGTGAAGAATTCTTCTTTCTCTTGTCCGATATCGCCCTCTAGTGATCCAACTCTACTTGAAAAATAGAATGAATCCATGAAATAGCCAAATGACCCCTTCACTCCCTGACCGGTTCACCCACTCACCTAGCCAGCCTTCCCACCACTCATTTCTCATCATTGGTTGTGAGCCTATTAGGCACCAATCAACATGGATTCCGGGATGCCCTAGGTGTTGAATGATTCACCTGCAAAACCTGAGAGTCTGGAGAAAATGGCCCTCATCTGGAATCCCAGCTCTGCCTCTTAAAGCCCCAAAGACCCTCGGAGTGGGAGTTAGTTCACCAAGCTGGACCTGTTTCCTCACCATGGAATGGAAATATCGACTTCTCCATCTTCAAAATACACAATATTACATGCATATCTTCTTAATCTTATCTTTTTTATTATTTGTAGAAATGGGGGTGGGGTCTTACTAGGTTATGATGCCCAGGCTGGTCTCAAACTCCTGAGCTCAAGCGATCCTCCCACCTTGGTCTCCCAAAGTGCTGGGATTACAGGCATGAACCACTGCACCTAACCTTACCTTTATTTTATTTTCACCACCAGCTCCTGGAGCACTTAGATTTTTTGTCACAAAGAAAAAGCAGAGAAGCACCGGGCGCAGTGGCTCACGTCTGTAATCCCAGCACTTTGGGAGGCCAAGGAGGGCAGATCATGAGGTAAGGAGTTGGAGACCAGTCTGATCAACATGGTGAAACACTATTGCTACTAAAAATACAAAAATTAACTGGGTGTGGTGGCACGCCTCTGTAATCCCAGCTACTCAGGAGGCTGAGGCAGGAGTATGGCGTGAACCCGGGAGGCGGAGCTTGCAGTGAGCCGAGATCGCACCACTGCACTGCAGCCTGGGGGATAGAGCGAGACTCCGTCTCAAAAAAAAAAAAACAAAAAACAAAAAAAAAAAAGAAAAAGCAGAGAAGCTACTAGGTAAGCTCAGAAGCCTTAGGTTCAAATCCTGGTTCTGCCAGTTACCTACTTTGTTACCTTGGCAAATTACTTAACCTCTCTCTGTCTCTTTTTTCCTGTCTGTAAAATGAACAGGATTGAGAATAGTTTAGGTTTGCAAACTTTGGTATAAGCAAAATTCCCTGGGGAGCTTACTAACAGGACAGACCCTCCTTCCCAAATTTAACAATCCGGAAAATCTGAAAATGGCCCTGGGCCTTCTGAGCAGCTAACAAGCTGCCTAACAACGCGCAGCAGCCACTGAGAGCAAGTGTGATTGAGCCAGTGCACTGGTCCTCAAACTTGGCTGCACATAGAAATCAGCTGGGCAGCTTGAAAATGCTGCTGGCCCCTCACACACCCCCACTAGATCCTGACATAACTAGTCCAAAGTAAAGCCTGGCATTGAGATTTTTAAGAATTGCTGGGGCAATTCCCCTGTGCAGCCAGGGCTGAAACCCCATTTCCTTAGCCCGATGCCAAAAAAACATAATAAATGTTGAAAGAAGTCCTACCAATACATCCACATCATGACTCAAATACTATGCTTTTACTCAACATCAACAACAAAATAGTAAGCCTCTATCAGGTGCCAGGCACTGAAGATAGAGCCATCATCAAGCCAAAACAAAGACAGAAAGCTCTGTGCTCAGGGAGATGGCAACAATGCTGCAGGCCAATTTGTCATTTTGCACTGGGCCCCTAAAATTATGTAGTCATCCCAGTGAGCTGGGGCTGATACCACAGACGGCCTTCCAGCTCACAGCGAGAACTCTTTCTCTCTTTGAGATGGGAAGGATTACAACTCCCACAGTTTTCTGTCTTGGAAAAGAAGAGATTTAGAGATGCCACTGCAGCTTTCAGAAAAGTTACTGTCTGATGATAAGATTTCAGGCAGGGAGACCTGGGTGAGAGAAGACATATGTGAGGCAGTGGGACCGGTCCTGACTCACCGCATCCCTTATGTCTGTCAAGTCCCCTCTGAGTAAGACTGAGCAGGAGATGAACAACCACGGCCAGAAGCTGGTGGTTCCTGCTTCCTCCCCTCCCCCACCTGCTGTCCTTCAGCATGCAGCCTCCTCCCATCCCAGACTCAGTGGCCAGCTGCTTCCAGCTGTAGAGGCGAAAATACTTACTCACAATCACGATTTGGGCTTTGCACCTGCTCCCTTTGCTGGGGCTGAGGCTAATTCCAAGGCCAGGGATGTAGAGGGTGGAAGGGAAACCCTTTTGGATTACTGTAGCTACTCAGTCAACCCCCAGCTGCTCATTAGCACCTATGAACGAGGCCCAGGAAACCTGGTGAAATCTTGTTAAGCTGCTGAGAGCGCGCGGAAGGAGGGAGGATAGAGACCTCTCCTGGTTGTTCAACCGAAAATAAATGCCTCCATCACTCTCTCTCCCCTTGACCCTGCATTATCTTTATTCATAGCACCTACTGCAAGCTGACATTTTACTCTGCTTGTTCACTTCTGGTGGTCTTCCTAAAGATGAAAGATGGGTTAGGTGAGCTTACAGGACCCTTTCCCACAGAGTCAAATGGTCTTCTCCATCCCCACCCAGGAAGGGGAAGGGCAGGGACCTCTCTGCAGCCCCCAAATGGGGCATCAAATAAGACCACAAAACAGCAGCCCAGGCCCAGTCATCGGATCTGTCCTGTTTGGTCTGCAGAGGTGTTGTTGTTATTGTTTGTTTGGTTGGTTGGTTTTTGGTTTTCTGCAAATGGCATGATTCCACGTTTAAAACCCAGGACGAGCAACCTCTCTGGAAAAGCTGGATAGTGACGGTGGGTGCCACATCCTCACACAGCACCAGCTGCTTGTTTCTGAGGTGCTGCTGCTCTTTAACTGGGCTGGGCTCTTCGAGACCCCATCCCCTCTGGGCTGCCCAGTTCTTTTTCTTTCCATTTCCTGCCCAGCCCTGAAGGCCTGGATTGCACACCCCTCCCCACCCTGTCCTGCTGGGTTTGCTCCTTCTCCCAGGCCTGGGGGCGTCTGTGTCCCCTCCTAGTGGTGGAGCTCAGGTTGCGCTGGGCAGCATAATTTGCCTGGTGGACCAAGCACCAGCTTCACCATCCCCACCGGTAGCTGCCAGCCTCCCCGACCTCAGAGCCACAGCCCCGATCAGCCAAGGTCACCTGGGAGTTGCCTGGCATCTCTCTTATGCCACCACATGGTGAGCCAAGGAGTTTATTCCTTTCTCTCCTTCCCTGTGCGGTTTCTAAGAATTTGGCCATGAGAGTGATTTTATTCAGGTCACCAACAGCCCCACCTTTTGCTCAGCCTGATAGATATAAACCCCCAGCCATTACTGTCTCTGGTCCACCCTTCATTTCCCAACCCCGCCCCCCTTAAATATTTCTCAACCAATCTCATTTCTTTTCATTTTTCTCTGTGGCCTCAATCCTCCAGCCCTGCAAATCTACTCAACTATCTCTGGCACGCAGCCTGTTTCTTCTTATTATTAATAAGACTGAGAATAATGGATAATAAATAAGACCTTGCTATCAAAGACTCTCACGCCATCGACCCAGAGCCTCACAATTGGTGACATGCAGAGTGTAAGTGACTTGCCTATGATCAGCAGCTAGTTAGTGGCCGAGCCAAGTCAGGAATCTATTTTAAGTGGTATTACTTATGGCTTATCAGGAAATTATCATTTTTAAAAATAAGCCAGTGAAAAAGACAGCTGAGATTTTAAAGTATGCTTTCATTACATTTCAAGGGCAAGATTTATTCCACTCCTTAGTATTGTAATTAAACTAAATGAAGTAAAATTTGGTATTATATTTGCCTTTCCAACAACCTTTTGGAGACACCTGCATTGCTCTACAAAAGGAAAGCCATCTGCTCATGTATTCATTGCATTAAATACCCACTCACTCAGTCAGTCCACAATTATGTGTTGCCTTCCTACTGCGTGCCAGGCCCTGGGCTCAATTCAAGACACACAGTGGTGAGCAAAACAGGTTTGCCCCTGCCCCCGTGTGCTTACAGTCTAGTGATAAAGTCAGGTGTTAAACTAAGATGTGCACCAAGAATGTATCACCAGAAACATGCTAAGTGCCAGGAAGGAGAGGCACAGGGGCTCTGGTAGCCTCTAAGAAAGGAATCAACCTGGTCCAGAAGTTCAGGAAGGACTTCCTGGGGAAGTAGCCACAGCCCCAGGAGACAAGAAGAAATGAACACAGGGAAGAGGACAGAGAAGGGAGTGTGTAGGGGAGGTAACAGAATGTGCAGCACCAAGCACAGTGCCATCGGGGAACTGAGAGTCACTGGGAAAGTATTGTGTGTGACCAGGCAGCACAGGTAGATGGAACCAGACTACCCAGTCTTGTGAGCCCGGGTAGTTTTATATTGCTTCCCAGGGAGCAATATAAAACTGCTCAGAACAGGGATTGACCTGATAGGTTTAAATCCACTTAGGTGCTGGACATTTGGGATGGCACAAGGAAAAGAATGTCTCAATCCTCAAAGAATTTTCCGTCAGATTCCTAGGCATTAATAAAGCTCTGCTCAAAATTAGATCACTGATTTTTCTCAGAAATATGGGTATCACTCTTACGCTAACAATGGTTTTAAAAATATATAAAAATTAAAATAATAAGCCAGGCACATTGACTCATGCCTGTAATCTCAGCACTTTGGTAGGCCAAAGCGGGAGGATCACTTGAGGCCAGGAGATCAAGACCAGCCTGGGCAACATAGTGAGACCCCCATCTCTACTAAAAATAAAAAAGTCTCCAGGCGTGGTGGTGCACGCCTGTAGTTCCAGCTACTCGGGTGGCTGAGGCAGGAGGATCACTTGAGCCCAGGAGGTCAAGGCTGCAGTGAACTATGATTATATGACTGTACTCCAGCCTGGGTGATAGAGTGAGATCCTGTCTTTATTTTTAAAATAAAAATAATAAAAATATCTAGTACCTCCTAAGCATTTGCTGCTTTATGTTTTTACATATTATTTCATTCAATCTTTGCCTCAAGTTATAAGCATTATCACTCCCATTCCATAGATGAGGAAAATGAAGTTCAAGAAGGGATAGTAACTACCCAAGGTCACACAGCT